TAATGTGTGTTTCAGTGTTTTTTTTTGTGATTTTCCTTTGGTTTTTATAATATAACATCTAAAGTTTTTAACTTTGTGCTTATCTAAATATTTTAGAATTTCTGTTTGAGACCACCATACACATATAATAAATATTTTATTATACATAATACACATTCAGACGCACTTATTACATTGTTCATATGCAATTCAATGCAATTATTGCATTATACAAATATACTGTATGTAATGATCTGCACTACTGCTTAATTATTGAAACATTCGAAAAATAGAAAGCAAAATTTAAAACATTTGAATTGTGTTTAAATTGTTTGCAGATTTGGTTACATTTTCGATAAGATCCCATCCAAATTTGTTAACAAATGTTATACACCCTGTACCCAAAAGGTGAAAAATTACTAAAAAGCTTAAGCACAACAGCCTGTCTTTCTGTCTGTCCGTTCATAACAGCTAAGAGAATCGAGCTTGGCGTAAAAACTTGACTTATCCATACGCAGACCAAATTTCTTCTGAGCTCTTTATATCGGCGAATGAAGAAGTTCGAATATATTTTCTTGATCAAGATATTACAACCAAATTTGCATTTTATAATGCCTCAATGAAAGGTGTGTTGAAAATCAATACAAACATAAGTACCAATGCACGCATGTTAATATAAGCAGATAATAATCTTATGTTATCTACAAGTTATCTGTCACTGTTGCATACGAATGTAAGCATAAAGAATATGTATAGCAAAAGTGTCAGTCTCCAATAAAACTCTAAAGCGAACAGACGCACGGCGGTCCGCGACTATTGTCTTTTACTTTACTCCTACTGAGCCCTTCCCTTTTCAGCGAATATATAATCTATTCAATAGGTTATGGGCCCAGGGCATATAGGCTCATAGGAGAAGTTCAAAGTATTGTGAAATAGTAATCGTTTGGTGACTCAAGAAATATAACATTTAAAAAATGAGTGCGCTATATCAAATAGACAAATTGGAAGAGCATAACTATGACTCATGGAGCATACAGATGCGATCTGTCTTAGTGCACGCGGAATTGTGGAGTGTGGCATCAGGTGCTGAACCTAGTAATACTGAGAGTTCAAGGCCAAAAGATGAAAAGGCATTAGCAATTATAACGCTAAGTGTAAAAGCTTCACAATTGGGCTTCATTAAAAATTGCAACACTTCGTACGAGGCATGGAAAAAGTTAAAGGACGTTCATCAGCCGAGTGGACCTGTACGGAAAGTGTCGCTGTACAAGAAATTGCTAGGCAAACGCATGTTTCAAGGCCAAAGCATTTCAAGTTACATACACGAATTTAACGAAATTCTGGATGGTTTGTGTACAGTTGGCATCGAATTAAATGATGAGTTAAAAACAATCGTGTTGTTGTCAAGCTTGCCCGAACCATACGAAAATTTTGTCGTCGCCATTGAGACGCGTGACAATTTACCGTCATTTGATGTGTTATGTATCAAGCTGATGGAAGAGGGAGAGCGCAGAGGCAATGCAGATGGAGAGAGCGAGAATGCAAGAGCATTTATAGCTACGCAGCAGATCGTCGCGCATTCCAAAGCGAATTCAAAAAGGAATTCAAAAATCGTCGTTTGCTACAACTGCGGCGAAAAAGGGCACTACAAGGCACAGTGCAAGCGTGAGAAAATTCGCGGTGAAGGGAAAAAGCAATCGACAAAGAAAGAGATGGAAAAGCAGAGCAGCTTGTTAAATGCGTTGGACGTTGGAAAGATAGAGAACAACATGTGGTGTCTGGACAGCGGAGCAACAAGCCATATGTGTTGCGATAAGACGTTATTTTCAAAATTTATTGCGCACACTGAAATGATCGGTTTAGCTGACGCTGGTTTCCTGAAGGCCGAAGGCAGAGGAGAGGTGAAGTTACAGACAGAACTTTGTACCTTGGTGTTGTCAGATGTACTGTATGTACCGAAAATGAATGGCAACTTTATGTCCGTCAGCCGGTCAGTGCAAAAGAACAATGTTATACATTTTGGGCCACATTTTGCTAAAGTTATACAAAACGGCGAGTGTATACTGAAAGCGAATAAAGTTGGGAACCTTTATATGTTTCAAGGCAAACAAAATAGGTGTTATTCCGCAACTGAATCAGATGGTACATTGTGGCATAAGCGTTATGGCCATTTAAATTTTACCAGTCTGAAGGAAGTGATCAGCAAAGAGCTAGTGCGTGGTATTGGAAAGGTTGTTTTCCCAGACAACTTGAATTGCAAAACGTGTATGCTAAGCAAAATACATGTACAGCCATTCCCAAAGGTAAGCACTAACCGTGCCGAAGAGCTGTTGGAACTGGTTCATGCTGATGTATGCGGCCCATTCGACACGAAGTCACTTGCTGGATCCAAATACTTTCTGACCTTCATCGATGACAAGTCCAGGCGTATATTTGTTTATTTTTTGCGGAAGAAAGATGAAGTGTTCAGTAAGTTCGTCGAATTTAAAAACTTGGTTGAACGGCAAACAGATAAAAAGCTCAAATGTATTCGAACCGACAATGGAGGCGAGTTTGTCAACACAACATTCAACGGTTTCCTGAAACACCATGGTATTGCAAGGCAATTGACCGTGGCTTATACTCCGCAGCAGAACGGCGTGGCGGAAAGAGCAAACCGGACATTAACGGAGATGTCCAGATGCTTATTGGTGCAGTCGGGCCTAGGCGAGTCTTTGTGGGCCGAAGCAGTCAACACAGCAGTATACATAAGAAACAGATCACCTACCAGTGCACTGAACAACCTGACTCCAATGGAAGCGTGGACAGGTAAGAAACCCTGTGTTAGCCATCTAAAAGTTTTTGGTTCCATTGCAGTTGCACTTGCAAAGGGTCCCCGTAAAGGCAAATTCAAACCCAAAGGGCATGAGTACCGTATGGTTGGGTATTCGGTAGCAGCCAAAGGCTATCGGTTATACGACCCAGAGACGAGGACGATTGTCGAAAAACGAGACATTCTATTTGATGAGCGTTGTGGTGGTCATACCAATGAAGATACCGTTACGGTAGATTTTCCTGCATGCGAGGTTCAAGAGCATGTCACTCACACGGATGGTGACAGAAGCATCGACGACGATGACAGTGAGCACAGTTCTGACGACAGCAGCTCCAACGCATATGAGAGTGCAGTCGAAAAAGAAGACTCTGACGAGGATACTGTGAAGATTGGGTCAGGCCGGCCTAAAATTGTTCGAAATGGTAAACCTGGTCGTCCAAGAAAGCAATACAATGTGCTTGGAGCATTGGTTGCTAGTGACGTAATGGTTCCGACATCCTATGATCAGGCCGTTGGTAGCACACATGCAGTATTCTGGCAAGAGGCGATGCAAAAGGAATATCAGGCACTACAATCAAACGAAACCTGGCAGATGGCTGATTTACCAAAAGATCAGCGAGCAGTTGGTTGCAAGTGGGTATACAGCCTGAAACGTGACTCTGATGGAAAAGTCGAACGTTTCAAGGCACGACTCGTTGCTAAAGGGTGCTCCCAGAAGTATGGCGTGAACTATGTAGAGACGTTCTCACCCGTTTGCAGATTGGAAACCGTGCGGTTTATTTTGGCGTTAGCAGCGGAATTGAAGCTGTACCTTCACCAGATAGATGTGTGTACCGCCTATTTGAATAGCGACCTGCATGAAACTGTTTATATGAAGCAGCCACAGGGATACACAGATCCCAATAATCCAAGTAAGGCTTTATTGCTTAAAAAGGCAATATATGGATTGAAGCAGTCGGGGCGCGAGTGGAACTCCAAGCTCGATTGTGTACTACAAGGCATAGATTTTGTAGCATGTGAAAATGAACCGTGTCTTTACAAAAGGAACGGAAGAGGTGACTTATCATTAATCCTTGTTTATGTTGATGATATAATTATAGCATGCCGATCAAAAGAGGACTTGGCCAACATCAAGTCAGCCATTACAACATCGTTTGAATGTGTTGACAAGGGAGAGCTGCATTTGTTCCTTGGCATGGAAGTGCAGCGCGACGGTGAGCTTGGCGAAATTTCGCTAAGCAATTCGCAATACATCAAAGACATATTGCGTGAACATGGATGCGAGACCTGTAGACCTACAGCGACCCCACTGGATGCTGGTTTCCAAGTGATATGTACCAGCGAGCATTGTCAAAAGGTTGACATTGCATCCTACCAGTCTTCAATTGGCGAGTTAATGTGGCTGGCGCTTACAACAAGGCCAGACATATTGCATTCCGTTGCCAAGTTAGCTCAACGGAATCAAGATCCGCATGCAGAGCACCTAGTGGGTGTAAAACATGTGCTTCGATACCTGGCGTCAACTGTGGACCTGAAGTTGCACTACAAAGAGTGTGGACAACCCCTTACCGGCTATGTGGATGCAGACTGGGGTGGCGACCGCATCGATCGCAAGTCGTATACTGGCTATGTATACTACTTGGCTGGAGGACCCATATCCTGGCGATCTGAAAAGCAACGCAGCGTGGCACTTAGCAGCACGGAGGCGGAGTATATGGCTCTTTCAACTGCGTGTAAGGAGGCCATATACCTACGGCGTCTTATAGTGGAGATTGGCTGCGGTGACTCGAGTACTCCAACTATTCTTCATGGCGATAATTTAAGTGCTCAACAATTAGCTAAGAATCCTGTACACCATGAAAGAACAAAGCATATTGATATTAGATATCATTTTGCAAGACAGGTTGTAAACGAAGAACAAATTGTTTTACAGTATACATCAACCAATGAAATGATAGCTGATATTTTAACGAAAAATCTCCCTAAAGCGAAGCATGTTCATTTTACAAAGCTGTTAAATTTGATTTGAAAATTTTTGTAAAACATGTTTGCATTGAGGAAGGGTGTTGAAAATCAATACAAACATAAGTACCAATGCACGCATGTTAATATAAGCAGATAATAATCTTATGTTATCTACAAGTTATCTGTCACTGTTGCATACGAATGTAAGCATAAAGAATATGTATAGCAAAAGTGTCAGTCTCCAATAAAACTCTAAAGCGAACAGACGCACGGCGGTCCGCGACTATTGTCTTTTACTTTACTCCTACTGAGCCCTTCCCTTTTCAGCGAATATATAATCTATTCAATAAGGTGTAGTTCCATTTTAATCATACTACAGCTGTCATATGAACAATTGTAGGAAGGGGGCTAGGTACAAGGTGTGGAAGAGTCGGCATCTAAATAACCACATCTTAAATATGAAAACACTGTTTCTGAATTTAGTTTGTAAATGCTTTTTCAATTACCGTGCTAGTTAACGAAAGATCCGCTCAATAGTCTATAATTTAAAAGAATTGTTCTATTTTTGTTTGTTTGTTCACATCTAAGTAAGCGGCAATGCATAACCACAGATACAGATATATATGCGTATATATGTAAATATGTACATATGTATATTTGATTTGTTTACCTCTAATAAAACTTTGGTGTTATAGTCGCTATATAAACAGCGCCACCAAAAATGCTTACAACATTACTTACTGCCTGTATATAAATTAAAACTTAACACTTTTTGCTTTCATTATGTTTTTGTTTCGTTTGTTTTTTTTTTTTTTTGTTGTTGTTGTCCTAAATGCTTCAATATTTTATAAAAAGGTGACTATGGCGGACTAAATTTTGAAAATAATATCCATAAATTAGAAATAGTAAACTACTCGTACATTTAAAACTTAAATTTGTTTGCGTTCTTTGGAAATACGCTCCGAAACCATTGAGCAGCTATTTGTTGTTTTTGCTTTGAAATGTCTTCCTTTGTGTAGTTTATTTTGATTTGTGTTTAGTGTCCTTTTGCTTTTTAACATATTGTTTGTTAATTTATTAAATATATCATTTTATTTGTTTATTAATTTTCTGCTTTTATAGTTTTAATCTAGGTGTTTCTATAAGGATCAACATATTTTGTTCTTATGTATCACGGATTTAACTCTTTGCCGACTATCGACTCGCATTGACTTCTTATATGCTAGTGCAATGTTGGTCTACTCCGATCCGGGAAGGACCCGTTCCAGTACTAGCTCTGTGTGTTGTGCCGGATTTGCATTGCAATTCGAAATTTGCGCCCATATTTTGGCTGTTGTACGTAAATGTAGTTGTAAACTTTGCTATTGCGTTGGTTCAATCAATAGTACGAGTATATAGTACTTATGCCTGGCTTTGGCGAGCATTTCGATTTATAATACGAGTAACAAAAATGCACGTACAAGCTATATTGCTTTAATTGTATTCAATTTCTAAGTTTTCTGTTTGCATTATAGCTTCATTTTCATTAATTTTATGGTGTCTAGAAAGTTAATAAAGTAAGTTTCGCTTGGTTTTTGTCTTTTTGTTTTAGTTTTTGTTTTTGTTTTTAGTTTTGTGTTGTTTTGTTTTGTGTTGTTGTTTGCTTGTTGGTATTGGTATTGTTATTGGGAGTTGTGTGCTTTTCATGGAATAAAGTGTTTCGTTGTGATGTTCGTATATGTCATGGTTGGGCATGGGGTGGGGTGTCGGGTGTGAGGGTGTGAGGGTTCTGTCATTTTCTTTAAAGTCTAATCGTTTAGTAGAAAAGTTGTGCAAATGTCAGGCAAAAGGAGAATATATCTACAGGGAGCTGGTGTAGGTTCAGTTCAATTGTGGCTGTTGTGCCAGTCTAGGCCTAGTTATAACTTCACTTTGAGCGAGACAAAATCGTTCGAAATACAATAGATTACAAAATAAAAAAATTAATAATTGCATACCACCTATGGCTTAGTCCATTAGCTAAAGCCAGAAAAAAAACAGTTTCTGTAGTTTTTTGGGGAGCTGACATTGATTGGAAATAGAGAGGACAGGGTTAAATTAAACAATAAGGCAGAAATATTTTCCTAATTGAACACTTGTCTGTAGAAGCCAAATTGATTCGTTCACTTGAAGGCCGAATTCAAGATCTAGAATAAGTAACTATGTAGGTACACTCTTCATTCAGTTCAAAATACTGAAGATCATCTTTATGCTCACCTATTCTCGTCCAATTCAACAGAATCTCGAAAATGTATTTGTATACATGACATACAAGTATACTTTACAACTAACTGGTTGGAGCTTTGCGTTTGCATGGAATCCCCAATTTTCATTCATAAGTACGTTATTTCTTTTCGTATATACACATATACAATTAATTGGTTATATAAGTTACGGGTTGGGTTTCTGTATATAAAAAACTCGTGCTATATAGGTGCCTAATATATGCTGATGGTTCCTTTGCAGTTCCATATTTTTGCATATACATAAATGTATATATTTAAATAGCATATACATATGTATGTACGTATATGTATAAACATATTTTTGTCTTCATCTTGTGTATGTATAAACTTAGCTTCCTTTAATACTATCATATAAACTATATATATATTTATCTTGTATATTATGCTCAAACCTCAACTTGAGCCCTTTAGCTAGCTGTACAAAAATCTTTAGCCTTAGGTTTAGCGCTTAACGAAACGCCAATGACATTAAATTGTTTCTAAATACATACATACAATACAATTAATTTATGATATTTGCTTTGGTTTTCATTAACATTACCTAAACTTGTGCTATATTTAGTTGTTATCTTCTCTATAGTTTAACTCACTTGCCTGTATGAGTGCCTATGTATGTACGAGTATGTATGTTGTAACATGTCGCTTAAACTTGTCTGTGTGTCGTATGGAGGAACTTGCGCGAGAATGTAGGTATAGTATGTATGTATGTATGCAACTGTGTCCGAGTATGTGTGTAAATGTATATGTTTGGCTTTCTGTACGAGTAAATGGTGCATCGCATTTGTTGACAGCATGAACATTTTGCTCTTGGTTCCTAAATTATCTAATAATAATACTTATTAAAAAATAATGCTCTGCGAAGTTTTGCTCCTACTTTTCATTGAGAATGTGTTTGTTTCATTTCATATGTACAAAAGTTTAATTGAAAATCATAATTATACTAACTCATTGAGTACTTATTGATTTATGTACATATAGCATATACAAGTATATTCCAGCATTAGCTTGTCCGGTTGGGCCTTTTTTCCTCTGCTGTTCCTGTTGCTGGTTCCTCTATTGTTTCTGCTATTGTTTCCGGTCTATATTTACGAGTACGAGTATTATTTCCTTTATCAACTATTTCTTTGACTTATAATCTATTTTTAGGCAGTTTCATTCTTATTAGTGTGTATGTGTGTGCTTACGTACAATTAATTATATGGGTTTTTTTTCGTTTTGTTTTCAATGCCAAACCCTTATAGTGGTGTTACAAAGTTATCTTCAAAATGCTGAGTTGCGTGAGTTTTAAGTTTGGCCTGTGCAATTTATTTGTATCGTTTATATAAGTTGTTGTATTCCGATTTTGTTTTTTTTTCTTTTCTTTTCTTGTTTGCAAACAAATTATTTTTGTAAGTTGAATTATGTGATATTTTGTTGTTATTTGTTAGCTTTTTTATGTTTACTTGCACTAACTATTTGTTAATACTAATGCCCCATGATTTGTTTTCGGCTAAAACTTAAAAAGTAATATTTAATCTTATAAAAGGTGCACTCAAAGGGAATTACATACGTACAAGTGTATTCGTTTATAACTTTCAAGTGCAAATTATTTCAAAATTGGTATTTCATTATTTAAAGTTCGAGTTTCGAGTTCAAGTGCAACCTTAAATCAGAACGTTGCCTCAGTTATTGGGGATAGCACTCGAACGCGATTCTTCGCTATAATTTAATTTACTAAAAAATTTGGCCATTTTTAATGGAAGCGCTAAACATTGTCAGTTTTTAAATAAATATAACGGCTGATTGTGGGATAAAACAAAGTTTAATTTAGTCTATAGCTGTTGAGGTTTTGTGGCCATAGAAAGGGGGGAGAAGGCTAAGATCTTCGGTGTGAAGAATTAATACATAACTTAATCAGACCAAGTCCGCTTAACTTAAGGAAGACTCATTGGGTTTTTCTGGTCTGGGAAGCATCCAACGGCTTTAACCTCGATGAACCGAATACGTAGTGAATGTTAACTAAATAAATCAAAGAAATTTGCATTTTGCATTTTGTGTTTTATCGGTCTGGATCACATCTTTCAAACATTTTGGTTTCTCTTGTTCGGGGTAGTACGGGATGTGAGATTATCTTTAAAGAAATCTATTGACTGTGCTATTTTATAAATCATCTTTAGTTACTCATTAATGCTTGCTATAATTTGCTTACTGATTTCTTCTATGGTGTTAGTTTTGATTATTCGTTTTAATATACATACATATGTATTTGTTCATTAATGCTAGATTTTGACAATGACCATGTACGGGTATATGTATGTGTGTGTTCTTGTAATACTTATAAACAATAATTTGTAGCATTTGCATTTACTATCGCTAGTTAAAATTAGTTTTATATTTTAAGCGCCTTGTGTAGTTTTACTTTTCGTGCGCTATTCACTCGCCGACATATCCGTCTTCGCTGTCGCTGGCTCTTCCGCTGGCGCCGTTGCCTCTACTCCTCGCCCAGCAGGACAAGATCATCGGCAACCACGTCGCTGACATGCAGGTAGATGATCCAGTACATCAGATTGAAGCAAACGAAGCACACAGGAAAGACAATGCGCGAGTATTTGTCAATATCCGAGGGCGTTATACCCAACAGTTTGTTGATATCCTGCAAGTGGAAGTTGCAAGATAAATATTGAGATTAGTATTTGAATGAGCGAAGAACCCGTTTAATATCGCCGCATCATATACGATCTTTACCTTTACCTTTTTTACTTTTCCCGGATGCAATAGGTGGGCAGGCACTGCTGCTTCAGGGTCTCCGCCTCCCTCAGGTGGGCCCCCTCCACCACCGCCACCGCCGCCGCCACCGTGACCACCGCCACCACCAGGCACCGGTCCTGGCCCATGCGCCTGTGGTCCGCCACGACCGCCATTTACCGTGTTCTCCAATGTGCCGCCCTTGGAGTGTGCCTTTGGGTCGTGCACCTTGAATCTCACCTCCTGGAACAAGGGTCCCACTATCGAGCAACCGCGCGTACCAACGTTTTGTTGGATATTTGAAAAGCCAATTGGGCGGTTACTCACTGTTTGCTTCGGCGCATGAGGATGACCATGGCTGTGGCCATGGCCATGCCCATGTCCATGCTCAGCACCACCGCCTCCGACATTTGGATTCGGATTGGCCTGTTGCTGCACCCCATCAAGCTGTTGCTTTTTCTGTTCAGCTATCTTTTGGATCGCCATAAATCTTTGTTTTCGCATTTGAATTCGTTTTGCCATATAGCCGACGGTGGCGTATTCTACGATTGCGATACGATTTGGATACAGTTTCGAATTGGTTGTCAGTATTAGCATTGATAATGAGGCAATCGGACGGTTGATGTCCGGGATATGCGAATGCAGAAATTTTTGGCAGGACGAGTTCCACATGTATTTTTTTTTTTTTTTTGGTTTTGGTTTTGGTATTGATGATGATTGTATTTGTTGATTGTTGTAGTCAATAGTTTGTTGCAGAGTTAGAATTTATAGTTTTGGTTGATTTTGATTTGGAACAGTGCGGGGAAATGGAGCGTTGTTGGTTTTTATATTAATTTTCATAAAGAAAGACAAAAGAAATATATATGATGAAGAATTTTGTTAAATTATGTTGCAAAACTTCTAGAGGTGAGCATTGGGTGTAAAGTCATCTCGGCCTTGAAGCACTCATAGTTTTCTCGGGCCACACTTTACTCCCAACGAAAAAAATTGGCGGGGATTTGGGTAATAGGTACTAATTATTACTAAAGCAAAGAAGTACTTAAAGCCATTGCATGAGAATAAGTGGAGGGCATTGCTTTCGTGGAAAATAAATATATAATTTAAATATTTCTTGTTTAGAAGAAGGCAACATAAATTGAAAAGCAAGTGTTGGTTTTTGTATGTGATAGAGAGTTGAAGATTTTCGTCTATAAGTGGGCGTGTGAATCTTGTTTGTGTGTATGTGTGTGTTTGTTGTCTTTGTCGTAAATGAGTGGAGAAACTAATTTTAAGCTAATCGATATAGTATGTATACAATTTATTTATGAAGCTTAGACCATCATTTAAGGAAAATGTTTAAGTTCGTGCCTTAAATGCAAATTCATTAGGAAAGTCGCTTAGGTATCGGACACATAATGTCCACGTTTAGATTCGCATTGCCTCCATAATAACGAATGCAGACATATCTTTAATTCTTTCCAACCATTAGTTTATGTTCTTTGTTATGATATATGTATAGCTATACAAGCACTCGTATTTAACATCGACCGACCATAACACTATGCAACGCGATTTTGTATTTTAATTTTGGTGTGCTTGGGATGTAAAATCACAAATCAGTATACGGAACGACTAAATGAATTCGTAAAAGTAGGTTTGAAGTATTAGCCGAGCCATCGAACTAAGATGATCCTCAATCCAAAGATTAACTTCCGCATTACACGACTTTGAAAACTAATATAAATTATTTAAATATTTATTTATTATAGTCTCTAATTTTGATTGATTTTTATGAATCGCTCCGAACTTGTTTTTGATTTGCAGTGTTTTAGTGATTTGTATTGTGAGTTGATTATAAATTAATTTTATTTAGAGATTTAAAACTTTATTTCCACTATTCTAGCGAGATGGAAATAATTAAAAAGTCGATAAAACGCATAAAAACGTAATAATTTAATGTAATTTAACAAACAAAGTTAAAATTTTACTACTCAGATATCTCTCTATACTAAAAAGTGTACGGGTATATTGTTTTTGGTGTATTACGTAGACCACTTGGAGTAGACACATACATATATAGTAGGATCAAAATGACCAGACAAATTATTCGTGTTTGCTTTAATTCCTACTCCTCCTACAGATTTAGAGCTATTGAATATTTGTTTGCCATGTGAGATCACTAAAACATTTACTTAATTGTCCCACTAACGAAATGGCTTAGAAAGTATTAGAATCAAACCGAATATAGAGAATGCTGCTGAAAGTTAACCATGGACCATGTTAATGAAAAGTAGATAGTATGAATAGAGTATTCAAAGGTAGAAATACAATTTTCTCTAGATGTATTCATATTCTTCAAATTTTATTTGGCGAGCAGTGGGGTCTCTAATTATTGGCTTGAATTCACCGAAACATCTGTAATTTCTGCCGGCGAAAATACAACAAACTACGGAACATACATCAATTATTCATGCAGAAACTTATAGGAATTAAACAAACACCTTCATATGTATATATAAGTACATTAGTATGGATAAAAATGTTCCCCTTAGAAAGCAAATTTCTTTTGCGTTCGATTTTTAAATCCAAAGCACACTAAATAATAATACATTAGTTTGTGTTGCATAGTGTAGTCTTACAAATATTTAATAATGGATAAAATGGTGGGATTGGGTAAGGGTTGAGTACTTACCAAGCATCAGGAAATATTTGCTGTAAAGGCTACATAAAATAATAACCAAGACAGTAGAATTTACCGATTATACAGAGATATGAATCTTACCTCGCCTCTAAATTTCAGACCCTAAGCAACATCCGCTCTTGGGTGGTCATGTCTGGGACACCCATTTAAGTGACCCAAACTTAACAACCCAAGTGGGGAAACATTCTAAAGAGCTTGGGAAAATCCGGAGGCTTTGTGTTGATGATTTCAAACGTGGATTAGTAGCTTGGGGCTGTTGTTATAGATCAGCAATGCGGTTTGATATAGTTTAATGTTAAATGTACTATGTATTGATTTATTCAATTCAATCGCGACTCAAGCCAGGTGTGGCGCAGGGCATGCTGATTTTGTACAGTTGCGCTCAGTTTTAGCTCGTATCCTTGTATATGCTAACGGGTTTTTTATGAATACATATTTGGAATTTTAGGTGCGTTGTGCTTAAGCTTCATCGTTTGCATTAAGCGGTTGTGATAATTTTTGTTGTTGCGAATTCTGCGTTTTTTGGAGGAAGCTGGGCGTATATTGATATCTGGGTACCATTTCAGGTTGATCTGTGTACGCTCTTAGCGCTGTTTTGTCAGCCTGTTTGCTTGACTGGGGAGTACACAAAGTCAAACTGAGGCGGAATTTATAGTCTGGTAGTTTTTTGATTCATGCTTCATGCTTTTTAGCAAATGCTGCATTTTTTTGTGGTTATGGTGGAACAATTTGCGAAATTTTGCAGTCGGAAATTTTGTGCCTTTACACTTAGCGCGTATCTATGAATTTGCATACATTTTCTTTAGATGATAGTTACATTGTTTCTTTGAATAGAAAAATTAACAAGAACATACAAATACGAAAAAAGAGATTTGTTTTTTTTTTTTTTTTTTTTTTGCTTTAAGTTGCTGTTGTTGTTTGTAGTTGATTGTTGAAGGTGTAAATGGTTGCTGTATTATATATATATATATATTTATATTTAAAATACATTATTAAGAAAATAGAGAGAAAGTTAAGCTTGGGCTGTAACGTACAGCTTTTGCAAGCTGTGCTGAATTGGGCTTCTAAAGTTGGACATTCATTTGTGATGCCTTTTTTTGAAATGTAGGCATTTGAAATGCATGTCAAACTTTTTTAGCAGAAACAAGGCTTTATTTTGGCACAGCGCAATTCAACACAATTATGATGATTTTTTAAAATTGTAAGTCTATTATATTTATAATATTTACACATTGACCTCTAAAAGTCAATAAATCACAAATGCGTGAGATGTTGTGCCAATATTGAGTTGGAGCTTATAAAAAAGTATATCTTATATATTTTTTAATTTGGATATTTTGACTCAATTGTATAGCAATTAGATAGAACCAAAAAAAGGTATAGGTCGTATAGATAGTGAGAAATAGAGTGTTTTTTTTTTTTTTATATCGGACACTGGGATATAGTTTTTGTCCCAAGAGAAACAGAAATGATAAATTAAAAAAAATATATATGAAGTTGTTCTTTTAATACAGCGTGTGTATATGTGCGAGTTTTGGTGCTCATGTGTTGGTTGATTTGGCTGGAATTGTTTTTTGTTTTGCTAGATACGTTGAATCTAATACTGGATATGGTTACGAGAGTTTGTTTACCCAGTAGACTGGCAAAGACCATAACGAAGCATGTTCCCAGATAAACGTCAATCGACTTGACGTACGAAATCTTTGGCAGCGCTGCGTTTGTTGACGACATCAAAGTGGTCATTGTCAACACGGTTGTCACACCGAGCGCCACACGCGCCGGCGTTGCATTGCGATTGAGCCAAAATGATACCCATGATATAATAACGATCAGTCCAGAGGGTATGTAGATTTGTATAAGATAGTAGCCCATCGAACGCACGAACTGAATCTCACAGGCTAAACGCGAATAGTTGCCTGCGATCAGTTGAAAATTTGTATTTTTAATTATTATTATTATTATTTTTTTTTTTGATATACCAGGTTATTGGTTTAATTTGTAATTAAATTTTGTTTTTCGAATTGGTCGACGGGCGTGTGGAACGAGTGAGAGAGAGAGAAAGAGAAAATTTATATGTAGTTAGTATGCTGTTGAACAATTTTTCTTTAAAGTCAATATTGTTGCAAAATTGTTAAATCAAATCTAAAAAGCAAAGTCAACAAAAACTATTTAGTAAACTATAAGTAAGTAGATATGAGCGGCTTTCAATGAGATGTTATGATAATATGAAACGCGACCTATTGTATATATTAAACAGCTTTGCTGTCTATACATGTTGGGAACCTTATCGTATCATACTATAAGACAGAAAAGAAATAAATATCATTACAATCAGTTATATTTATATGCACATGTATATATGGCCGTTCAGCAATTAGTAAGTCGGGCAATTGGGAATTAACCGCATTCATTTCTTGAAATTTCTCCCCCAACTAATTACATACGAGCTGTGGTATTGTTAATAATTGCATCTTTGTGATTTTTGCTATGTTATGGATGGATTTCCTAGCAATTGTCTTTAGGGGCAGTTAAACTTAGTCAACAAATATGGTTAGGATGACGTAAAATGTAACAAGCGTTACATTTTGTAATCGAAAACAAAAATGGGGACAATAACATATTATATTTTGTTTTCTATGTTTGGCGACTAAATACCCATTCTTTCGTTCGTTTAACGAACACACATACATACATATGCATAATAATATGTAATATAAGTAATAGCGTTAGTATATACGTAAAAAAGGGGCTAAGATTTAAAATGGCAACTGAAGTAAAATGTTTTTCGTAAATTCTGACCCTTTCTTGATGTTTCTTTATAAAGGTTATAAAGAAAATGAAATAAGATGAAAATAAAGTTTGAATATCGTATTTCTATTATTAAAATTAGTGAACGTGAAAAAATGACAATTGTTTTAAGGAGTTACTGCAAGTAAGAGCATTCTTATGGGCAAAACGAAAAACGATCAATTAAGAGGCAGTAAGTCTAAGACCTAATTAGCGGCATTTTTATTCTTTGAATATTTGATTTGATTATAATAAAATTGATTTCATGTTTCCTAATTGTATCCTTGTTTTTTTTTTTTAGTTTTTAAAAAAAACTTCGTAAGATGAGAGCATGCTTGGGAGGGCGTTCTGTTTTGTTTTTTATTTAATTATATATAGTATATGGTATTAATTTTGGATTTCCTTTTGCTAATTGTTAAAAAAATGTTGAAATTGACGTTTGATTTCATTTAAAATAAAATTAATTTTCGCTGACGCTTTTTACATTTAAAATGCTTTGGCATTTAATATAGTATGGGTAACTGTTTAATTGGTATCTGTTGCTGTTTCATTTTCGTGATTATAGTAAAAACTAATTGTGACTAGTCGATAATGTAAATATATATGTATTTATAACATGAGTGTGTGTATTTGCAGCAATTAAAAATTGATAATTATGCATAAATATTAGTTATTATTCTCTTGAAAGTTGCTAATTTAATTTAATGTATTCGAAAAATTGTTGTTTCTCCAAGTTTCTTGATTTTTAGTTTTTGCTTTGATTGATTATTGAAAACATGATAAGTACAAAAATTTCTAAGTGAGGTCTAATTGCAGATAAATATAAATTTAAAAAAATGTTTTCTCCGTTGATTGATTGCGATTGAGAGTTTTATTGATTTCTTATTTCAAAATGAACTCATGTCTGAAAAATAAAGAGTAATTCAACAAAACGCAAATCTCAAACGTATTTATTGTAAAAAATTAAGCGAAGTTAGACAGAAATAAATATATTTGTAAATAGAGTTATTCTAGCTTTGCATGCGTTGGTTTTGCATTAGTTGAGAGTTTGATTGATTCTTGCTAAGAATGTTTAAGCACTAAAATGTGTCAGGCCTTACGAGTTTACATATGTATCAGTTATACAGCTGTGTGGTCTGAATTTCTATGCATAGGAAAGTATATTAATTATTGTATTTTTGTTTTGTTTTTTTTTTTAAATTTGTTTTCTATGATTTAAGTAAGTTAAGTTTATGGCAACAAACGCTAGCTAAACAAAATTCCAGAAATGCAAAATATTTGATAAGATACATGCGTTTGTTTTTGATCGATTTTGAGATCGTATAGCGTATATATCAGCAATCATTTAGCTGGCACTCGAAGAATATATCCTTTTTGATTTTGGCCTAATTTTAGCACACAGGCAAGGCAGTTCATAAATGAAGTGAGTGTGTGTGTGTGTGTGTGCTAAAATCAATACACAAGCCCAATGTCGCGTCCAGGTTAATGGGTGATTACTTTGTACAAATGTTGCGTTGAAATTAACACAAAATTAAAAGAGGTTAACCAAAGTAGGAGTGCACAACAAAAAGTTCAACTAATAAAAAACGCAATATATATATATATATAGATATATATTTATATATAAGTATATATTTATTTATGTAAAGAGTAAGATTGTAATAAATCGGTAACCGTCTACAGGTACCTGTGGTAAGACTGATTTCCATTGCTCTTTGACGATGACCCAAGACCTTAAATTGGGGAAGAGATACTTCATTCGAGACACCGACCGAGTTAGGACCTTCGTTCCATTTGTAACGTATGTCACGCATCGTGTAGCCGACTATACCCATATTCATTTAGTTATGTGGGTGGATTATATACCGTATCGTATCGTTTCAATTCGATTCGATTTGTTTTGATTCGTGTTACATATAGTACAGTTGATGATTTTTATGGGGTGGGTTTGACGGATTTGTACAGTTGTGGGCGCAGTACATATGTAGAAGTTGTCGTTGTTGTTGTAGTTGTTATTGTAGAAAATAAGACGAAAAATATGCACAAAACAAAAAATACATTTCGTGAGACTATTAATGGGCTTTTTACACACATTTTAAATTGTTTTTAAACATTTTTTATAGGGTTCATTTTGATATTTGAACGTGTTGCAATCCAATTATTTTCAACTTTAATTAATAGTCTCATTCAGAACTTGTTGCTTAAAGTGTTGTTCAATATATTTTTTGACCTTTGGTTTGTTATGTTTTCATTTATATATTGTACATTCATATACATCGATATATAGAAATATCAGTTTGTTTATACATATATTACAGTTGCTGTTATCTAAATTGCATTTTATTTGACAAAGCGATTTGTTTACAAAATTTTAAACGAGCATTGTAAGTAGTATTTATAAGTAAGTATTTAAACCTACAGCTACTGATTGCTTTTAGATACAGTAGTTAGAACTTAGACTAGGGAACGAATATTTCTCATTATATTATGTGGTAGAAAAAGGGTGCTCATGTATTTTCATTGTTTTGTAGTTTTTAGTTTAATACGGATTTGACATTTAATATTTATAGTTGATTTTTCTTATTCAGTTGAATGTATCGTTTATATATTTATATTTATATGTATAATGTATATATAGGCAAGCCTACCCAAGCAAATGCGCTATAAAAACTTTGACATTTGGCTTAATTTAACTGAAAATAAGGAAGTTCTAGTAAGACTAGATTTTAGCAACGCTGCCCTATAAGTAATAAACGACAAATGAGCCCAGAAATACATATAACAACAAATAATGTAAATAAAGTGTACTTTCGAGGATATATTTTAATACGGAACAGAACCATTTGTTAGTAGTATAATTTACAGTCAATACTTGCACGGGTGAACTCAAACTGATAATCAAATATCAAATAAATGAGTATAATGTTTACGAAAATAATAATAATATTTTTATGGTGGTATTTTGAAATCAAAATAATGTTTTGTGATTTGCGTTTGATTTGTTTTAAATATATATATATGTATATATTTATTTATTTTATTTGGTATTTTGTAAATGAATTTTAATGTATGGGGGTACCTGTGGTTAGGTTTATTTCGGTCGCCCTCTGCCTGTGGCCCAAAACGCGAAATTGCGGCAGTTCGACCTCACTGCTCATTCCAACACTACTCAGTCCATCTCTCCAGAAATAACGGATATCGCGCATCGTGTAACCGACTGGTTGTGGTTTGGTTGTAGTTGTTGTTGGATGATAGTAGAAGTAGTTGTTGTTGTTGTTATTGCAAAAAGGGCGGTAGTTAATTAATTGTAGTTATAGTTTCTGTAGGTGGTAGTTGTATGTAGTTATGTTGCTGAGTACTTAGTAGGGTTTTTATAATCATACGCACACACTCGCACATTCACCAACTCGTTCACACACGTACAAAGTACAGACAATAAACATTTGTTTTTATTTAACTTAAGCACTAGCCTCACTAACTTAAGTATGTGGTGTGAGTGGTCGTCTGTCTGCTTGCGTGATTGGTTTTATAAACATATAGTATATTGTTCAGTTAGCAAAAGCGTGCTGTGTTCGAGTATATATTAATATTTTAATTATCTTTTATTTAAATACATTGTTGATTTTTATTATTATTATTTGAACTATTTAGTTGAGTGGAGTTTTTTGTGGCCTCACTTATAAACTACGAGTATAATTCGTAAGCACATCTTATGTTAGTCATAATGTTCAATCGAATCGATCATCGTTAACCTTCTGCGGTTGCTGTACGTGAGAAGGCGACCGAAAATCAACCAATATTTTCTTCTTTTCTTGTTTTTTGTTTTTTTTTGTTTTTGTTTTTGTTCCATTTTTTGATCTTAGCATGAAACGGTATTTGCATTGCATTGCGATGAAACATGAGTTGCTGGCTGTGGGGTATTATGTACAGATATATATTTATGCTTACACTGAAAAAAATGAGCGGATAAACATAAGGAATGGAGCAAGGGTAAATGTACTTTGATGACCTTTTAAAATCTTGTATAGTACATTTCGTTTTTATACCAGAATAGGTAAGCATGAAAATCGAAAGAAAATATGTAGTTCTAGCTTCACAAGATCGTATGGATGAGCAGGGTCTAAGGCCACTGTTAAGCAATTTGTAAATAAATAAAAAAAGTGGATATTGCGCATTACGATTGGGAACTATAAAAAGAAATAACGGAAGCCCAGTAAGGAATAAACCAAACCTTAATAAAATAACACAAAATAAATTGCTTGAGTTTCATTTTTCTTTCCTTTTTCAGTATATTTTTGTATATTTTGCCTTTTTATTGACAATCGGTATTGGACCTTATTTCTTTTGTTTTGATGATTTCGTGCATTCTACTTATAACTGAATAAGTTAATTGGATTAATTTAGAACAAATCGTTCATAGTCTTACTATTTGCTGGATATATTTTCACCTGGGCATGTTGACAGAAGGTGTCGGTAAGTTTTCCATACAGTTCCACTTTTGCGCGCTATTTGGTATAATATTTACAATTTGCTATCGATTCGAGCTTAAGAGCTAAGCGTGCAAAATAATTAATAAAAAATATATTGAAGCTATTGTGTTGGCAGCTCTAAGCCCGCTGTCATTTGATTTGAACCACTTTTGTTTTCTTTATTAAACTGCTGCTTAATATTCTGAATGAGTTCTTTCTAGTTCAAACATGTTCAAAACCAATGCGATTTCTTGAGAAGTTCTTTTTTTTTTTTATTATTTCATTATGCTATTATTGTTACTTTGTTCGTTGTGGATAATTATAAGTATATGTATATATAGTACTTACAGCTCTCAATTTCGATGTGACATAGTTGCCGGTCCATCGGGAAATATTGTAGATTCATCGGACACGAGGCGGTGATAGTCAATCTAGGGGGAGAAATTTGATTTTGTTTTTTTTTTTTTTGTTTTTGGTAGGGAAGAAACAAGGATTAGTTGACTTTTATGGAGATGTTTTAAAAGGCTGACACAACATTTAATCAAGCAGAGTGTTAAGAACAGGACAAAGGAGCAAGAATATACATTTAGGCAAACAGTTTATTGTAGTTAAAACAGAGCGAGTTCAATTGGATATGAGCTATAGTTAATATTTATTTTTGTTTAGTTGTGAGAATTACGAGTGGCAGTAAGTTTCAATACGAGTAGCTGCGCATTTTGCATAAAAGCTTGGGATTTCATACGAGTATGGCTGGCATAGTTAAGAGAGCTAATTATAATCATAGTTGGGCTTTTGGATTGATGTTACTGTTTTTGTAATTTTAATTTCTGCTACAACATAACAAGTCTACGAATACTTTGAGAAGTATGTATGTTTAAATGTACTTAAATTCGTTTTTGACCTTTTTCATCAGTTTTACGATTATCTTACTTACGGCGTCGCTGGCGCGCGTTTCGCTCTTTTAAATATTTCTTTCAGTTTTTGGTTGATGCGATTTTGGACAGATTCTTGTTTAAAGGTAGTAGAAAATAGTGTGCCCAGTAGTCGACGATGATGCTACTGCGGCTAGCCAAACCTTTTTGTGGTGTAAACGACACAAAGGGCATGCAACTCTGGTACCATTACTTCTCCCTTCATTCAGTATTTAACGTTTCAATTCAATTCTTTCAATTTCGGACTATTTTCTATTTACATTTGTGTTATATACATATCTCTGGTGCCGTTCCTAATTTCCTAACTTTCTATCTATTGAGATATTATTCATGCATGGCCTGGGAAGTCCAAACAAATAGTTTTGCTGTCACGCTCGTCTTTCCGCTTTCACATTTACTTGCCAATTGAACTCACTTGATTTCGCAGATTGCTTAAAAATGATCGACGTTCATTTGGTTTTCGTTTTTTTGTTTAGAAATTTACAACATCGAATTACATACATACACCAAAAAAGTTGCAAATAGGGTAAAAAAAAATCTTAACAAAATGTAGTAATTTTGGCAGTACTATGCATAGTAGTTTGTAGTATGTAGGCGTACTAGTACACAGGCTTTTAGAAGTTTCTGTTTTTAATTAATTTTAAATTTTTGCTTAATTTGTAAACTTGTAAACTTCAATGCACATACACGTATAAATACATATAAGTATATATAAATAGTTATCTTTTGTATTCGTGTCTTGTAAGTAGAATTGGTCAGTAAGAGATTTTTACCTAATACTTCTTGTTATCGATCCAGAATGATGCACGCGTATGAACTCATTACTGGTTGTTGCAATATGAAAATATGATTGTTTTTCATTTACAAAAAAGGTGTCAGGTACCCAAATATTTTTTATGAACTCTGATCCCACCGACAGTGTTTCTACACCAGGTCGTTTTCTATACGCTAAACGAGGATCGGTCCAAAATTGACGAAAGTAAAAATCCAATGTAAAGTCCTATATCACCAATCAAATCGTATCGATATCGTTTAAAGACCATGTTGTTGTAGTTGTAGTTGTTGTTGGGAGGGAGCAAAAAGAGATGTTTGTTTAATATTAGTAATCTTGGCAATGAGAACCTTAGCTCTGTAAGAAACAAAATGTTTTCAGTGTAGATACGAGAATGTATTCAAATAAAAGGAAAGAGTATAAGAAATAAGGGGTACATTTGTAGAGACTCATCGGAAATTTTTGAGAACAGTTAGAGAACATTTACAGTTAATACGTATAAAAACTAACGGCGACAAAAACAGAAAGAATATCGTGCATCGGATTGTTCAAACCAATATGTATATATATAGGGGCAGGAATCAATTAAGGCGGATTATATATCTCAATTGGGGCATGCAAGCAAGATTTTAAATTTGTACAGCGAGAGTTATTTCAGTTTTAGCATCATCTGGGTAGGAGTGTTTTTTTTATTCAAGTCGAACTTAAGGGAACTGAGCATAACAAATCAAGGCAAATTATAGACAAACAATAAAGAATTAAAAATCTTGTAAACTAATGGTTTTCTAGTTTAAGCTTAGCCTATGTACAGTAGCAGAGTAACGCAGAAACCTATCAGGAACTTTAGCTCATGTGAATGGACATTTTTGTTCTTTGGGTATATTTTGGTATGTGTCTTGTTATAGAACAGGGTTTTATGTATAGTATATAGTATATAGAACAGCTGATGTCTATGTTTTTGCAGCGTTTCTGTATTAGCTTTCTGTCTTGCTGTCTTGTAGCATAGTATGCTGGAGGCGTGGAGATGTGCCCCAGATCTAATGTGCAGGGTGTACGGAGAAGGCACAGAAGCTTTGAGTGAGAGTCAACCGTTTGTGGATTTAAAACGAGCAACAAGAGAAAATACTGGAAAAAAGACAGTTTTTTATTTTAGTGTGTTCGGAGGTGTTTTGCGGGTTCATGGATAGGAAAAAAGATGGGAAATTATCTTACGGGCACTCTAGTATTTGTATTGTTGTTTTTGTTTTGTGGCTTCGAAAAATATTAACAATGATTTCGCGAATTTATATTATAAACTCGTTTTCTGTAAAGCACGCCATGCATACAATTCACTTCAAACTGTGAAATTGACAACTGAAAACAAGGTGGTTTTGTGGGAATTGTACATTTTGTAGGAAATATTTATACTCGCACACTGCTTTTTGATACTTTTATGGACGCCGAGTCGCTTTTACTTTTGATTCAAAATTGCATTCGATATGACACGTTCATTGTTGCAATTCTCATCATATTGACAGATTTGGTTTCCATTTGCTCAGGCGCGCCAAAAACTAAAACGCAAATTTATTTCAATATCGGTTTTTAATTACATTATATACATTTCATAAAACGATTTAATCAAACAGAAAAGTATGGAACTGAGATAAAATGGACGGGGACCCCCTTTTAATTCGGGAAGTCCTATAATTCATATTAATTCTGCTAGAATTTATCGACCGTGCGTCTTACACCAGAATTGTCACAAAATACTATTAATAATTGTTTCTGTTTTTGTGAAACGCATTTAAATTTATGTAATTTTCACTTTCTAAAGCATTAATACTTGGGCTTTTTTAATTCATCCGTTATCAACAAATCAAAAAAATCGCGTTTCAATTGCCAATTCGTTTATTACAATTGTATATATTATAAACCTAAAATGCTTTGCACATCAATAGCAGTAACGGTAACCAATTGATTACTGAAAAGCTCTGTTTAGATTAGTAGCACTCTTGACTTGTTTAGCATTAATAATTAGTGTGTTCATATGTATGTGTATGTGTGTCATTTGGTAGTGTTTTTTTGTGACTGTGTTATTTTTCTTTTCATATTTGAATGATGCCTGTTTCACGATGTGTGTATTTTTGCACTTGGGGCGTCTGTTTTTCTAACAAATCCGTATTTTACATTTACATTTTTACCTTTGGCATAGTTTTGTTTAATTTCGTAGTGAATATTTTTTGTTTATACTTGTAGATCAGATTTAATAGTATAGATGCGATTAAATGCGATATAATTGCACGTGACTTTGCACTGAGCTTCAAATTTGGTGTCATTTATGTGAGTTTTGGTCTTTGAGTGAATGTGCTTAAAACAGCTTGTGCTATAAGAATTTTAGTGTTGAGTGCTAAACTTGAATGTGGTAACAATGATTTGCATCTCCTCTCTCTTTCTCTTTCCCTCTCGTTAAGTGACGCATACTTTATATTCCCGCTCTGTTTTGTACGTTATAATAGAAATTGAGTTCTGAAATAGCTCAACTACGTGCAACTTTGTAGATCTAAGACCATCTATAGTAATGCCTGCCTTGTGGTAAATGAAATGAAAATTTTCGGTTGTACATATGCTCAGTATTAAGGAGTTGTATCAAAAACTCTGATATGATGGCAGCATGATGTGTTAGTGTCTTAGTACGAGTATGTGAATTAGTAAAAAAAAAATAACAGGATTACATAATGGAGTTGTTTTTATAGTAATTTTAATAGATAATTCAAAATTATAGAGGCAAATAATCGAGTTGTCAATCTTAAAAAAAGCTGCATAACAATGTGAAGATTTTCTTCTTTTTTCTGACATAAATTAACAGATTTTGATGTTTTAATTTTTCTAAAAAACTCATTCGATTTTGGCAGAGCTGTATTTGAAGCCCCCATTATTGTTTTAATTGAACTTTAGAACAAAAATATTATAAACTCAAGAAATGAATACTTTATTAGAAAAAAGTAAAACTAAGCTGTATTTCGATGTACTTCTTCTTATTAGATGTTGGGGTTAAACAGATAAAATGAACGTGAAAGTAAAATAAATTAACGAGCAAGCCATTTCTTAATTCGGGGCCTCTTTTTTAACGCAATATAAATGTCTAACCGAATTGAATAAAACTAATACATACCCATATTTAAATAGTACTTTGTATATTTTGCCTATGCACGGTATAAATAAATATTTATATATTTGTGTACGTTCATTCAGTTTTTAATACATATGCATGCGTGCAGCCTATGTCATGATGGCTGCTTTATAAATTTGTATGTTCGTGTTTGTCTTCGGTCAGATTTAATATTTGAACATAACATAAGAAATATTTGATAATACTTATAACATCAATATAGATTGGTTTGTATGTGATTCAAATGTGGTGCATATTGTTTCGAATGAGTGGTAACCAAATTAATATTAAAAATATATGAATATATGACTTAATGTTTGTCCGCTTGAGTCCGAGTGTTGTGTACATTGAGCGAATCAAAAGATGCAATGAAACACAAATAGCATTAAACTTATACGAAATGCCGAGGCGCTTTATAATTGCGCTAAGTTTGTATTTTGAGTTGCGTTAAAAACATAAAAGATAGAGAGAAAGAGGGAGCAGCACAGTCCATCAAATTATTGATACTGTTCACAGTTTTTGTTGAGCTTATATTTAACTCAAACAACAACAGATAATTGAGTTAATATTAACGATTAATAGTTTGATATATATAAGATGAGTGAAATTTTTTGTATATACTGGACACATTTGAAAACAATGGATGAACAAAATGTTGCATAAAATGACCTGAATAATCCATGAAAATGATAGACGGAAGTCATTATGGCTATGTAATATATTTAAATGTCGATTTACAATTTGATTGCAATGACAAATTATGTAATTTCATTACAGAACATTTTCACACAACATTGAACTTGTATAACACTTGAATATGTTCTTTAAAAATATATTTAAAATAATTAACATTTGAATTTGAATGTCGAACCAAAACTTGGATTGGATTATATATGGAAGTGAAAGAAAAAGTAAATTAATTTTTATGTTTTATGCCAATTCGAAAAAACAATGACTAAAGCAAATAATGTTTCTGATATACTTGTAGAATGGACATGTTCAGAGAGAAAGAGAGAGAAAGCAAGAAAAAGATCAAGAGTGGCACAGGGAGATAGTTTTGAATAGAGAGAAATCAGAAAGTACGAGTAGTTATGAGTTTGTTAGTTATTTTAATTAAATCAAAAATGAATTTTCTGCTTATTACAGTAGAAATCCGGTAGGAGTAAAATGCTAAAAAATTGTTTCTTCAAGTGGCGACCACTGCAAAACGATAAATACTATGGATTCATTTAGATTTCCTCTTAACAGACTTCTACTGTAGGTGTTTAAAATTGTTTTGGTATATAATATGTACCATGAGAACTTCCGAAACCGAACTGATACTGAGGACATACATTGTGACGCCAACTTCCACAGGGGGACCTGCAACATATACACACAGGGTTGACGCTTTTTCTGTTTACAGTTTATTGATTGTTATTGTGGTTGTTCTTGTTGTTATTGTTGTGATACGGAGTAACTAAAGCCGAAAACACGTAAAGAGAAACACACAAACGCACACACACACACACACACACACACACACACATACACACACAGACAGCAGTACAGAAACAATAGTCGACGACTTTTTGAGGCAGCAGATGCTATAAATGCTGTGCAGCAGCCCGCGAAGTAATTTTTCGTTGCCTACTTTTGTGCGTATTTGGAGGTTGGCAGGCTCGCTGGCTCGCAGGTTGTTCGTGGATCCAGTTTATTCGTTTGTATTACTACGATACTGGTACGTGGTGCTGTTTAATTTCCATTAGCAAAATTAAATATATATGGTACAGTTATAACAAGCGGTGCGCGTTTTCTTCTTGTTTACACTTTTATATTAATTTTTTTTGACAGAAATGTAAATAAATTTGTGTTCTTAGTGTGTTCGTTTGTTTCTGCGCGCTCTGAATGAAAACCAAATCGATTCACATACTAATGTTGATTTCGTTTTTGATGTTAATGTTCAAAGTGACAAGTCGACTTTTTATTGTGCGCTCCGTGAAAAATTGTAGTAAATTCCTCTTTTTCAATTATTTCGCGTATAGTGCGTTAAAAAAAAAAAAAAAAAAAAATCACCCGGAAACCTAGTTTCACCTTGGCT